GCCACATGCGCAACGAGATGCTACCCTCATTACACACAGACGACACCACATCGTAGGCCGACCCCACCCTCCTCTCTGCTTCCAGCCGCAAATCCTTGAGGGAAGCAGAGACATACTCGTCGAAGCCGTTGTCTTGGCCCTGGCCTGGTGCGAGTGACTCTGTGCTGAGCTTCAGATCGATGCTGGCTTTGGCTGGCTTGATGGACATGAGCAGAGACAAGACAGACCGCGCGCACCCCTTGCTGATCTTACTAAAGTCATTCGACACACGCAGCGACTTGACGGAAGGGTAGGCTAGGCTAGGCACGGGCACGTGTGATGAGTCGGGCAGCGCATCTGACAACAGCTCCGGCCCCAGGCTGATGTGCAGCTCATCTAACTCACGGGCATGCAGATACGACACACACTGCGCCACGGCGCGGAGGCTCTTTGCCCCCAGCCACACCTCACGCACCGCCGCCAGGTTGCCCAGCAGCTGCTCCAGCCTGGCAGCCTCAGCACCGGTCGGCATGACGCTGTTGCCATGCCGAGGACTGATGTCGATGTAGAGGTGCTGGATGGCCGGCAGATGGGTGCTGTTGCCGTTCTGGTCCTTGGCCACGAGCCAATTGGGGATGCTGCTCACCACCTGGCGGACGGCGGTGGTGTCGTCGCGGGGGTGGATGGAGAGCTTGGTGGCGGAGGGAAATGTGAGCAGCTGCCCCCACGTGTCGTGCAGAGGGGCACCGCCGTACACAAACTTCACCTGCGAGAGAAGGAACGGAAAAAGGAGCAGGGCAGACATTTTGCTTCAGGCCGTGTGCTGCACCTCCCTCCCCTATACACCCCTCTCTCACCGCGTCGCATTTTTCGTCAGATTGGCGATGAGTTGGCCTACAGGTCCGTGCGGGGCCGGAGGTGTTGTGTCCCGGGCCTCCTTGCCGCAGTCAATGACGATGTCGTCACACTGCGGCGGGCTGAACTTGTCCAGGATGGAAGACTCGAAAAAGTTGAAACGGTCGTCCTCACTGCACAAAACACACACACACACACACACACACGGAGCATGTGCCCGTCTCTGTCTGCGGTTCGTTCCCCCCTGCATCTCACCGACCGTGGCATCCACACGATTTGGCATTTGGTCTCCTCGGCCCAGTTGAGCAGGTCCTGGAGCACGAAGTGGTTGGGGCCGCTGCGGTCGGTCAGCTGGCGGCTGAAGTCGGCGCCAAACGAGAAGCGATGGTGAATGGTGATGGTCTTGTCCACACCTGCACAGCACAGATGACACATGTAGCAAAGAGTCCCTCCCTGTGTGTGGTCTTAATCTGCCCACCCCCACCCACCCACCTACCTTTCATGTCATCGGTGCGCCAGTTGGTGTCGAGTGCCGTGGTGAGGCGGCCCAGCGGATCGTAGATGTACTCAACGGGACTGACACGGACCACCACAGACGCATACGACATGGTGTGTTTCTACCTCCCTCCCATCTATCTTTCCGCCCTGCTCACTCAGGTTCACTGTAGTCCGCCCAAAAGTCCTTTTTGGGCGGGACGAGGTGGAGGCCGCTGATGCTCGTGAGCTTGGGGCAGCCGCTCAGCGAACTGACACACACGCGCGCATACGCGCATACAGACACACAGAGGCAAGAAAAGATGTATGTGTGACCGAACAGCATAAGGATGCGTGTCAGTCTTCCATGTACCTTGTGAACGCCTGCCACTCGTCCCCGTCCGTGACTTCGATGACGTCGGCCGTGATGGAGGTGATCTTCGGCGAAGCTGACACGATGTGGGTGACGGCCGGCAGGTGGTTGCACTTGTCGACAAACTCCTGGCACACCCTGCCCACACTCAGCACCTCCAGACTCGGAAACGCCCACTTGCGATCCCTAAGACGACACACCAACACACACCACAAACCAAAAGATTTGCATCTCTGCAGCCCCTCCCGCCCCTCTTCCCCTTACTCGGCTAGGTCTAGGTATCGTGTATCCGTCAGGTGTAGCTGCTGGGTCTTCTCAAACACCACTGGCTCCCTACCCCCCTCCCCCGCCCCCTCTCCCTCCCCCGCCCCCTCCCTGTTGCCGTATCGGTTGTTGTGGCACTGGCACCAACGCTCCGGGTCGTCCACACCGATGTAGCTGAGTGTGGCGTTGGACGCCTCGATGCCCTCCACTACAGACGGCAGCACATCCTTGTCGTTGTCGGTCTCGATGAATGCCGTGTTGATCTTGCTCTGACCCCCCCACACACACATACAGAAAACCATCCATCCACTCGACATCCATGCCTTTCCCTCCTCCCGCCCATCCGCCCACCCACCAGTCGTGTTTTGAGTGTGCCTGTGAGGTTGATCTTCTTCCAGTAGTTGTGTTCGAGCATGGAGATGGTGAGGTCACGGTAAAGGATGCCGTATGACGCGTCGGTGGTCTTATGGTGCAGCTGGTGGCACACGAGTGAGAGCGGCTTGCGCTCGATGGTGGTGAGGAAGTCGCCGACTTCATACACACACTCGGACTCGAGCTGAGCCAAACCAACGCCAACGACCTCATCCTGGCAAATGCATCCAATCCCACACGGAAGATGCCCGGGTGTCGTTTGTTGAATCATCGTTCGCTAACCGATTCGTTTGCCATGTCGATATCCTTCTCGGCCTCGGCCTCAACGCCCGACATCTATGATCTGATGGAGGGAAGAGGACCGGACCGTGGTGCATGACGAAATGGATGGATGGATGGATGTGTTGTGTGTCACCTCTTCGTTCTTCCCGTGAATGTTCCTGACAAGATCGCGTGGTCGGCTGCCTCCGGCGGCCGTGTGTTCGCTTCGATTGGGAAAGATCGGGAGAGGAGGTGGTCCCTCCCGTCAGTCCGCCGCCGACAAAACCAAGGGTTTTGACTCCTCTAGGGTCAAGGGTTTGTGTTGCGATGGAAGGGAGGGAAAGGGACAGGCGCACAGACACACAAACACACAGACACACAGAAACACAGAGACGACATAAAAATACATTCATGATCACTATCTAGATGCCTTGAGCCATTAGCCGTGGCGGTAGCCGATGATTGTTTGACTGATTCCCATGCGTGTGTCTTGTCTGTTTCTCGTAATGGGAACGCATCAGTAGGCAGTACATTGGCTAGGCAGGTAGATCGGGATGGTGAGTTGACTTTGTATGTTAGGGATAAAAAGATTCAATCCAATGACATCAGCTACCGGGTATTGTCTATGCATGTAACGCCTCCCTGCCCATGCAGTCAGTCCGATGCCCAGTACACAAAGCAAAGCACCACTGACTGCATCAACACAATACAGACAGACAGACCGGTCCATCGATAGATATCCGTCCGCCACTCATGGGTGAGGGAACGACACACGAGCATCCCATCCCCTCCCCTCCCTCTCTCCCTCAGCCACTGCCTCTCTGTGATAAGAAAAGGCCGGTTGACGGCAGGCAGTCAGGCAGGCAGTCAGGTGGCTACGAAACCAGTGCATGTCATCAACGGAAGTACCACGATGAGTCAATCCGCACGGGCTCACAGACAGAAACACAGCCGAAACGCCCACACGGCACCACACGACACAATGAAAATTGACGACTGCTGCTACTGCTGCTGGGTGGCTACTGCTGCTTGGCGGCATTCAGCTGTCCCTGCAGCTGCTTGTTCTCGGCCTTCAATTTCTTGTTCTCGGCCTTTAGCTTATTGTTCTCGCCCTGCAGCTGACTGTTCTTGGCCTCCAGCACATTGAAGGCGTCCTTTATCATCTCGAAAGTGTTCCGAATATCTTGCAAAGCGTCATCGTCATCGGCTGGCTGAACGGGCACCACTCCGTCGGCGGCCTTCACCTGCACCGACAGAGAGGAACACTTCCACAGATGCCTTGCTAATGGTCCACTCATTCCACCTGCTGGTTTTCGTCCTCCTTGTTGTTGATTTCCTCTTCAGTGTCGTCCCGCTGCACAACGAGGTCAAGGCCGAACCCATGACGACCCCTGCATCAACCACACATACATACACACACACACAAACACGGCATGTGTCAACCAATCCCTGGGCGCCTTTCTGCCGCCAGTGTGTGTCGCCCTCACCTGGTCTTGTGGAACATGTCCGCTCTGACCCACGCAATCAAGTTCAGTGAGGACTCCGGACCGATGTTGTAGTCCGCCAGTGTGCGTTTGTTCCCGCCTATGGGGATCTGGCGGGGCCCGAGCAATAGGCACCCCTCCCAGAACTGGTCGACCTGGGAGGGCCGGACGCCCACCTTGTCCTCAATCTCGACCTTGAGCTCCTCGACGGTGGTAAACGGTTCCACATCCAGTGTGCACCACCCGCCTGCATGGCAGCGCATGGTAAAACAGAGAGAGCACCGGACATCAGCGGGTCGTACCATTGAAAGTCTTCATGAAGATCTGCATGGTGTTCTAGCTGCTACCACTGGTGCCTCCTGCGTGCGTCCCACACCCACAGGCGTCACAGAGCAGCTTGCTTGGCTCGTGCTAGTGGGGTTCGTGCCTTCATCCTTGTTGCCTTGCTTACCTGATGGGCAACGAGCGGCAACGCACAAACCTGACGGCACACAGACAGGGAGGCACAGAGAGATGGAAGCACTGCACGTGTGTGGATGTTGAGACATGTGGGCAATCACTTGTTGCCCTCTTGCCCTCGGTGTGTACCTTGGGCGGCAACATTTGGAGCCCTGACGGAGCGGAGATCGACACGAGATCTCGTGCGCCGATGGAGTCGGAACTGTCAGACAGAGAGGGAGGGGAGGGGAGGGATGATGCGGTGCGATGCTGTGGGCGGATGGAGGCTCTCTGCCTGTCTGCTTTCCTTCCTCGGCAGATCTGGCAGCTCTTTATGAGGGAGTGCCCCACTCACCTCGCTCTACGTGGGCGATGTGGCAGAGCACCGCACCTCTGTCACTGCGCCGACGCTAAGACGCTCACGAAAGGGGGACGGATCTTCAGCCAGTGAAGCGCGCAAATATTCTTTGTTATCTCCCTGGCAGGGACGTCAATCTGATCAGCACTGCACACCGACAACGTTGGCAAGAAGGCGCATTTGGTCAAGCACAACCGCACCGACAGACACACGGCGCACCTGATCTCGCGACGCTGTGTGTGCAGCGGAGGGGAGGCCACGCGCGCCGTGAGTCCACTGGAGACGACAAGCAGCAGATGACCAACAAGCCCTGATCAACGACGTGGGCAACTGAGAGATTTCGGTTAGCGGGCCAGACACCGCATGAGAGAGCATTATGCGGCTGTGCGGCTGCTGTCCATGGGATGCCATCGGCGAAGTGCCTTGGCGGCCACCGCAGCTGCCCGCCACTGCATCAGAAGAGCAAGACCTCGGGGACCCTCTCATACGGCCGCTGTCCATCGACGTCTTCAGTCAGTTGACTCGGAAGGAGAGACCGGCAAGGGCGGTTCTGCAGTACGTAATGAGCGGGCGGTGTCTGAGAGGCCAACGGGACGCCGCGCCGTGTGGGTCACCAGACGTCTGAGAGGGAGGGATGAGCGGAGCATATATACAATGGGCACCGTCAGGTGGTCAGGTGACAAGGTGAGCCAGCAATCCACAGCATCACATCACATCTCACGGCGTCCTCGGTGTCTGAATGTGTCCGGCGATTGTGGAGGGGAGCGAGATCTTTGCGTGTGCAAGCTTAGCTCGCAAACGAATGGAAAGGATTTCGAGACCTTTTGTGTTGTTTGTGTTCAACGGGGAGTTCAGGAATTGGCGTGGGTGTGGCGATCTGAAACGGGGAGCGGTGATCTGGCGCTTTGTTGATTTGCACGGCTTTCAAGGCTGTAAGGCTCTTTCCCTTTCGGTAAGGTGGAGTTCCCATCAGTCAGTCAGTGAGCAGCACAGCGTCCGTGGCTTCCCTTCCTTGTTATCAGCAGAGTGAACAGATGTGTAGATGCCCGTGTGTGTGCGGCAAGGAGAGCAGGTCAGGTCACGCACTGGAGGGGAGGGATGGGCGAGAAGATAGGCTGCAGCAAGAAAGGATGGATGGATTTGCACGTCAGTCTGATTTATTGTGTGTGCATGTCTGTCTGTCTGTCTGTCTGTCTGTCCGCCTGCCTGTTTGTCGTCAGGTTCCGGCGAGGCAGGCAGGCAGGCAGGGAACGAGGTCCGGTGCATGAGTGAGTGAAATGGGCTGGTCAGTCAGCGCCAAGGCCGACGGACGTTAATTGCATACAGACCTCTCTGGGTGACGACCCGCAAGAAAAGACAGTGTGTGTGGCCGTCCGCTGCTTGAGATGGCGCGCTCAAGTTGGTTGGCAGCTGTGGTCGATAGCGTCCAAGCTTAGCCCACCACAGCACAGCTACTCACGAGACCACTCTGAGGAGGTATTGGTACGGTACGGTGGGAGTGTCTGTCTGCCTCGTGAGCCGCCCGCACACGCGTGCACACGCATCTGTGGCTGTGGTGCGGCGCTTCCCTTATCCGCAGAGTGTGTAAGAGTGCGCCATCGGCCGGAGTCGTCAGAGAGGAGCCGTCAGAGAGGAGTCAGAGAGGAGCCGCCAGCCCCACTGGCACATCCAGCGGTCTTTTTGCCGAAGAGATCTGTGCTTGTTCCGTGGGTCAGCTTCGCAACACTGCACTGCACTGTGACTGCAGCGGCCATTGCAAAATTAAGTCACCTCTCCTCTCTTGTCCTGTGTGCGCTTTCTTTCAGGTTTCGGCTGCAGAGATCACCGCTCGTGTCCTAAAGGGAGAGGCTGTATTGAATGTGAGAGGCAGCTGCATCGGTGCATGTGTTAGTCGATGGTTTGGCCGTCGCGTGGCTGCACGTACGTACATGTGGACTGACTAAGACATCTGCTCTGAGTCAGCAGCAGCTAACGCGCTTCTTACGGTGAGTGGGACCACATGAAGTGCGGGTGGCATGCAGTTGTTAAGGGTCAATCAATTCAGTGAAGGAAGCAAACGGCCAAAAGCCTCATTCATTCAAAGTCCGATAATTACATACACACATACACACACACACACATACGGAGACGAACAAACACGAGACGGCCTGTCTCTCTAGCAAGAACGAACACCACTCACTGCTTACAGGACACCGAACCATTGGGACAGCCAGGCGCTGTTGAGGTACTGTACGGGTGTGATTGTGTGTTTGTGTGTCTGTCTATGTCTTTGTACCTGTGTGTGCGTGTGCCTGCAGGAGGGTCTGGTGATGCGGCGGATTTGGAACATGGCAGCGCTGCAGAGTGAGGACGTCGACATTGCAGCCGCCGCTGCTGCACACATGGGTGGGAGGGGCAAGACACAGCCGACGGCCTTCTCGAAGCTGTGATTGATGTACGCACGGGTGCATATGGATGGACGGGTGGCTGCTGATGGCTGTCTGTGTACGTTCGCGACGGATGGACAGACGGGGTGTTGACATCTGTCGTTGATGCGCCTGTTTCAATGCATCCGTGTCCTCACACTCAGCCGTCGTGTCAGAGTACGAGCAGGAAACACGCACATATAGGCAGGGAGGCAGATGCAACGACACGCGCAGATCATCGTCTCTAGATGTACGTATGCGTGATGTCGAAACGCATCCATCCATCCATTCATCCATCGACCTCATGACCCATCAGCCAGCATCGACCAACACACGACACGGCTGGTGGGGAAACCGCAGGCAGCCAGACAGACAAGCAGACAAGCTGTGAAGGGACAAACGAGGGCAAAGCGAGAGACCCCTGTTCTTTTTCCCCACACTCAAGAATGACCGACCGACAGGCCTCCTTTATCCCTTCTTGCCCAAAACTCGTGCGTAGATTACATACCTGAATGCACACAAACGGCCTGCCGCTGGTGCAGTGCATCCAACCAAGCTTGTTGGTCTGTCGTGAGACGGACGGACGGCCCCATTCGTGGCCGATAGCGAAAAGCCGTGGACACACAGACAGACAGACAGACAGACACCACAGACCTGCCCGTACAGACACGTGGTGCGGAGCAGTGCTGTGTGCTCACTGCCGGCCATCCGTGTGCTTGGCCGACAGGAACAGGCCAACACGCGCATACATACAATGCAATGTGGCAGCTACGCAGAGTCAATGCATGTCATTTATCCGTCGCCACCCAGCCTCCCTCTGCACGACTTAAAACGCACCGGATGGTTCATCATGCCGACAGACAGATGGGTGTCCGGCCGCTCGACATGACGACCACTTACACGCACAAAAATGAGAGAGAGAGACAAAAAAGATGAGACGAAAAGAGGCGAGCTCGTGAGTACGGTGACTGCAGGCCGCTTGCATGCCAGCTCAAAATTGCAATGGTCTGTCTGTCTGCTCGCATTCCATCAACCCGTCCGTCCGTCGAGTCAAATAAATGGCAAACAGCCAGGAACACGTTTCCCCCGCCCAGCCGCCCTCACTGCTATCGACAGATGCATATGAACCCACGCACCGACCCCTGGCGGCCGCCCGATGCACAGGCAGCTCAGCCTGGGCGACAAATACATACGGTATACGTGCACGCACCGAATGGCAACATAAGATACGCAGTGGTTATATACAGCCCCGCCCGCCCCCCCTGTGTGAGCTACCCACCGAGTCAGTCAATGTGTCAGTCAGCACACAGACCCCTCCCTCCCTCCCTCCGTCCCTCCCTCCCTCCTCTCATGAGATGCGTGGGTGGTGGATGGTGTGAGTATCTCACTCATGTGAGTGCCCGCCAGCCAGTCACTGCCCACCAAACCAAACGTACACACGTACATATATGCAGCACACGGAGAGAGAGAGAGAGAGAGAGAGAGAGAGGGGTGGGGGAGAGAGAGGGGGGGGAGAGAGAGAGAGAGGGGGAGGGAGAGAGAGCGAGCGAGAGAGAGAGAGAGCCAATCAACGGGCATCTACACTACCAACCGCAGGCCGGCCGCTCATCGCTGACATCGATATAGCAACAGGGACACACCACAGCACAGCACAGCAGACATGCTGTTGGGGCCGGCCATGTGTCTGTCTGTCTGTCTGTCAGTGCTCTTCGGTGCGTACCTGTGTTCACTTTGTTGATGGGCTGCGGCGGCGGAAAGTCAGAGACGGCCAACTAAACTCCGTGTCGAACCCCTCAGGCGCTTCGGGTCGGAAACGCTCCCACCACTGGCTCATCTTGCTGGCGAGACTGACGCTCTGGAAACACATGGTCACATCATCGACGTCCTGCAACGAACGAACCAAACGGACAGAGTGGCACATGAGAGCGTCCCTCGGATCTGCTGCTCGGCTGACGTACCTTGAGTCGTGTGCACGACGTGAGGATGGCGATGGCATTGCAGAGGAGCGCGCCACACTCGCCGTCATCCACGTCACCTGAACGTGACACACACACAGATCCCGCCATATATACATACATACACCTATCGAGTCACACGACTGACTGAGGCCTACCGTGAACAGTGAATTGAACGTTCCTCGTGGATGGCATATCGGCCGCACGCCGCCCCAGCTGCCACCCACTGAGCTCCGCAGCACTCGACACCGCTGCCGACGACACGTGCAGCTGGAGCGATATCTCCCCTGGTGCACCCTCGGTGATGTTCATGGTCGACTTAAGGGTGGTCAGGAAGTCCACCACACCGACAGCGGATGTCAACGGCGATGAATCACTGCCCACCACCGCCCATCCCAATTTCGGCATGACGGAGGCGATGCTGGCGGCTGCCGCGCGCTTCTCTGCCGTCGTGAGGGCGCCCGCTGCGACCTCGATGGCGAAGGTCGTCGGGAATGTGTCGCTGGTGATGGTCGCTGCCGTCCCCTCATCCCCCGATACCACCACTCTCGACGCCACGCTGGCCAGGTAGTTGACGATGTAGCGCACCCAGGGGCAGCGGTGCATGTGTGCCCAGGTCACCAGCCCGGCAGCGATGCGACCGATGCCGCCACGGCAGCGGCGAATGGGCTGCTCCAGGGCATCAGCATCCACCACGTCGGCCCTGAATGAATGCCACACACAGCACCAGACAGACACATCCGCCAGTCTTACTGTCCTCTCTGATCCCCCCGTTGCCGTGCTTACGTGAGCTTTGCCAGTTCCTCGATCCTATCGCGGTCTCCGGTCATCCGGCGATACTCGTCGTTCATCCGGCGATAATCGTCCACACTCGGCTGTCGCGGCGGAATGATGTCCAGTGAGCTGAAGTCGAGCGTGCCCTTGGCCCCTCGCGCCACCAGTGTCTCGCGCAGCCGGCCGATGGCGTCAGCGTCGGCCGACCACAGCTCGATGCCTCCGAGGGACCGCAGCCGCGAGAGGGACTTGCCGTCCTCGGGCAGGCCGCGCAGCACCTCCTCAGTCGCCCCCACCGACAGAACCCCCATCGCCTTAAGCCCCTTGCAGCCCTTGACCCACTCCTTGGCTGCCTCTGTGTCCACCTGCCGCTCAAAGGTGAGGGTGGCGACATTGGGCGTCAGCCACGAGCGGTCCGTGCGGATGCGGGCGACATCCTGCGGGACGGCAGTGACGGTCGTGAGAACGGGGAGAGTGATGGTCTTGATGGGCGAGGGGGCCGGGAGGGGGGCAGGGGTGGGGGGAGGGGTCGGGATCAGCACGCTCTCGAATGACAGCTCCTCTAGCGTGCCGTCGTCACCGGTCTGTGTCGAGATGGCCACGCCGCCGCTCGCCTCCCTCTCCGCCGACTGATGCTGCTGCTGCTGCTTCGCCGCCAGCGCCGCCCGCCCGTCGGCATGGCCTTCAGTTATGGAGACCACATGTCCTGACAGAACGCATCCACGATAGCACAGAAAGGTGAGTGAGACCTGCACTTATGCTGCACTGGTGGGTGCGCATACTTACCCAGACACCAGCCAGGCCGGTCGAATGGAGCGCGGACCCTCAGACGCTTCAAATGCGTCATCCGCCGGCCCCACTTGTGTGCGGTGGCCAGTGGCATGGCCGCCCACAGCCGTCGCTCCTCAGCGTCCTCACAGCTGATGGTCAGGTGGGTGTACCTGGCGGCCGACAGGTGGAAGAGGGCCTTGCCAAGGTGCCGTCGGAGGCGGGCCAGCTCCCATGGCTGCAGGTGGCCGAAGACGTTGGCCAACTCCTCGCGGGACAGAGGACGGGCCTATAGAGTGACAGGCAGACAGCGAGAAGACGCACAGGTGATGGTTTGATATGTGAGACTCATCGTTTGTGACTCCTACCGGTTTCTCATCGATGGGTGGAGTCTGGCCGCTCCAGTGGATCTGACGGTATGATGGTCCGGTGGCTACGGACACCTGCAGTGCCACAGTGACGTACGTACAGCACACATACAAAATGTCAGCGTCGTTGATGGTGAGTGTCTTTTGGTCTGCCCCTCACCTGCTGTGCGTTGGTGTCCTCACTCGCCGCCGCCGCCTCACTGGTCGGTGTGAGTGCCGCCACTGCCGTGGCGAGGCTAGGATGCCCCTGCTGCAGCTGGGCAGTGGCCTCCCGCACCACAGATGCCATCGAGCCCAGCTGATCACTCAACAGCGATGCCGACGGGGAAGCCGCCTACGTGATGCCACACAAAAGACAGCCGACAAGAGCGATTCCAAGGTCGTGGCCAGGCCACGTGTGTGTCGGTTAGTTACCTGTGTGGCGATGTAGTCCTGGTGCTGCTCGACGTGAGACACCTGTGCGATGATCTGCAAAAGCCAGACGGACGGACGGACGGGAAACACACAGCGCGCGGCGCTTGCTTCACTGATGAAGGCCTTCGTGTGATTGATCTGTGTAAGGTCATCGTACCTACCTGATCTACCTCGTCCCGCAGCTTAAGACAGCCCGCCTTCAAAGACTGGGCATTCGCGACAAGCTGCACCAAAGACACATACACATCGGAGGGATCCATGAGTTCTGTGCAGGTCCGTTTTGTTTGAAATGCACTGCTCGTCATTCACCGACCTGCGTCGAATCCATGACGATGTGCTAAACCAACTCACTCCTCGCGGTGAGCCACTCACACACCAGATGAGCCAGTAGCCACTTCTCAACGCTCCGTCAGGTGCAGGCTCAGATCTGCAACACACCCAGGGGCTGCAGCAAAGGCGATGTGCACGGCGTGTTGGTTGCGCCACGTGCGAGCTGTGAGGTGAGCGTGCAGTTTTTCGAGCCGTCTTGAGAAGGGAGAGGCATAGATCTCGATGGAGAGAAGTAGCGGTACAGCGCAAGAGATCAGCACAAGCACTCATCTGACTGACCCATGATAATGATGTGGCTGTGTCTATCTGTCTATCTGTGCAGGTGGGTTGAGATGCATCGAGAGCCTCCTCCGCCCTACGCGTCATCCCATGACTCCCCGCCGTCATTCCAACAGCCGCCACGGCTGCCCGCCCCTTCGCCAGCTCTGCCACACCACCCACGTCCCCGGCCGCCGCCACCGCAGTACAGTCACCCCACTCCATCATTCTCTCAAGCACCAGCACCAGCACCAGCTTTGGCAGCGACACCACCCCACGGCCACTCAGCCCCTCCTGCCCCCCGCCCCCTCCCGGATAATGTGCTGACGTCGTCACCCGTCAAGACGTTCGTCAACAGGCTGCCCGTCGGTAGGTACAAAGATAGACGGATGCGCATCTGCTGCGAAAGATGCCGCCGCTAGTAGAGATTGTGTGGATGTGAGTGTGTGTGTGTGGGCGTCTGTGTTGTGCGTTGCTCCACTCCCATGGCAGGCATATCTGAACGGCAGCTGTTCGATGTCTTCAACCGGTGGTAGGAGAGTGCACCTTCATACTGCACAGTACTTTGCTAAGGATGGCTAGATAATGTCTGTCTGTGTGGTCTGTCTGTCTGCCTTCAGCGGCGTCGTTCTGGACGTGCACATCTTAACCAACTCACCCAACAGACCAACTACCAGAGGGCCAAACTCAAGAAGTACGCGCAAGGAGCAGACAGGCAGACAAGTGGATGGACACAAATCGATCCGGTGTCCTGTTGCGATGCATTCAGCATGTGCGTTCGTGCGGTTCCAGACGGTGCAGCATGCCCTTGCTGCCATGGAGCAGCTGCACGGCAAATGCGTCTTGAACCAGAGTGCTGGGGCCATCCAAGTCAGATTCGCCGAAGGAGAGGTAGGTGGTGCACACCACATCCGCCCCACCCTCAACAACGTGTGTGTCTGTCTGTTTGTCGGTGTGTGGTGTGCGCGTGTCAGATGGAGCGTTTGGGCATCCCGCCTCAGATGCAGCCTGGCGGTGAGGCAGCTAAGATCTTCGTCGGGTCACTGCCCAAGAGTGTCACGGACCGACAGCTGGGCGCCGTCTTCGAGCAGTTTGGCGCCGTTGATGAAGTCTGGATCATGTAAGCTCGCCCTCGCTGAGACACTGACGGATACCTTCCGGAGAATCATCGCTGGTTGTCCTCGTACGCATGCAGGAGGGACTCCCAAGGCGAAAGCAAATGTAAAAGGGCCCAAGCAAGCAATATACGCGGACCACAAACACTCGCCCTCTGTTGTTGTGTGTTTATCATCAGGTGCTGCGTTCGTGACAATGCCAGACAGGGAGGAGGCAGCGTCAGCCATTGTGCAGCTGGACAAAAAGCTGATCATGCCAAACGGCCGTCGTCCGATAGAGGTCCGTCTGGCGACAAGCAAGGGCGATAGAATGCGGCAGGCCAGCTACCCACGCTCGCAATCCTCAAGCTCCAGCTTGTGCAGCAGGCCGCAGCCGAGCCCCCCGCCGTCAGAGAGCCCATATGGGCTACACGTCCCCTATCCCTATCAGCAAGAGCAGCCCCGTCCGGCGGGCTTCTTTGGCTCTCTTCCGCGGGGCCAAGGAGGCATGCCCATGGACCTGTACGAGCCAGGTGGGGTCTCGGCGCGTGAGAAGCCAGGATTGGCTCTCGATATCCCCTTCTCGTCCCGCCTGCCCCCTTCGCTACCCGACCCCCAGCCCCCGCAGCCCCCGCCGCGTCCGTGGCCCCTCCCGCCTCGGCCGTCAGAGCCCTTCTCTGGCACGCCTGTGCACCAGTTTGGCCCGGCCGATTACCTCGCCTCACAGCAGCGACAGAGGGGTGTGCGGCCCTACTACGAGAGGGAGCCCGAGCATCGGCAACGGATGCCATCCCTCCCCAGCCAAAGCAGCAGCAGTGCACGGACGAGTGTCTTCTCGGCCAGTTCGGGGCTGGGGCGGGGACAGGGACGGGCTCCCTCGGCGGCGAGCACGACAGGCTGCAGAGCGGGGTCTTTCCTGCTTGGCCTGCCGGTGCTCCCGCCTGAGAGGGAGGGGTACCTCCAGCGGCCCCCGCTTAGGCTCGCCTGTCTGCCGTACCAGTCGGATGGCGACCGGAACGCCAGATTGTTCTTCGGCTTTAGCCGGGATGATGTTCCGGAGGACCCCCCGCCCAAGTACATGGAGAAGCCGCCGAGCTATGATATGGAAAGAGGTCAGCCGATGGGGTGCGGGGCACTTGGCGAAACTGAATGTGGTCAATCCTTTGGTCCTTCTGGTGCCCTTTTGGGCGGCGGACGTTGTTTCAGAGCGGGGCATGGATGTTGATGCCGGTGTTGGGGAGACCTCCGTCGGCGCGGTGTCGGACTCATGGCTGGGAGGGTAGGTGACGCACACTGACACAGAGAGGGACATGCACGAGAGACGGAATGAACACCCAGATTCCACATAGATGGGTGGCAAGTCAGGTCCATCGATGTGTCTATGTGCGCTGCGCATGTGTGCACACATCGTTCGTATTCATATGCATGGCGTTCTGCACTAACTACTGCATCATGCGCCACCTACTCACTGCTGGCTCGCCACATTCGCACGTGGGAGGCGGTTCTGTGGCCTTTCCCTCTCCTCTTTCGTACGTGTGTATGTTCCATGTATGTGCGTACGTGATTGTCGGCAGCCTCAGGCGGGCCAACATGTCTCTCTTGATCAATACCGTATAACGATGGGTGTAGTAAGCGGCCGACGGCCAGTCCAGACCAGATCAGACCAGATCAGGCCAGGCAGACAGACAGATACATGTGTATGTGTCCCTGTGCTCATATTGTGTGTGCATGTGTGTCTGGATGTATGCGTGTATGTTTGCTGCAGATGAGTGCCCTCCACTGCGTCCGTTCCTCTGGTGGGGTGGGTTGGGTGTGCTGCCCACAAGGATGGATGGATGGTTTGTGGGCTTGGCTTGACTGATGACTTCATTTCCCGGATGTATGTATGTGTGATGGGGTCGTCGTATTCCCTACTTGGCCTGTGGTTGATTGGTTGGATGCGTGCTGTGTCGTTTATTTGTCCCGCTGTCCGTCAATATACTGAATGTCGCATGCTCATGAGATGCAACTGTGTCCGGGGAAAGATGGAGAGAGAGAGAGAGACTTCTGCTCAGTGCGCCGGAGGCCGCGCGTGAGCGAGGAAGTTAGTCAGTCATACCGTTATAGTGGGGGAGTACCACAAGAGTCAGTCGGTGAGTCAGTGGCTGTGTCTGTCTGTCTATCTATTTTTGCCCACTGAGTGTGGGAATCCGTCCGGTGTGGCCATTGCTGTGTGTCTCTCTCAGCGAAGTCTGTGATGGTTGTCATCCCAATACCATGAAGTGATGCCTGTCTGTCTGGTGTGTCACGCACACAAGCATGGCATGAATGAGCGCATGCCATGCCATGCCATGGGTCTTCGATCCCACAGGTAACGAACGTATGAATGTGTGAATGCACGTGTGTATGCCTTGAATCGATGGATGCGATGGATGCATGGATGGGGGATGATAGCAGGGATCAGGTCAATTTCTGGATGGGTGGGTGAGTGTGGGTGTCTGGTTTGGTGTCCGGATGGTGTTTCTCTATCCGCATAGAATGCTGGCTCACGATGGCTTTAAGGCGTTCACTCACTGTGGCTGCAACACACGGGCGAGATCGACGGGCTGCACGGACTGCGTGCACGTGCTTGGCCTGGGGAACCATGATTGGACTACTGGGGTGGCACATCGCATCCGAATCAGACAGACCGCGACTAGCCCGGCCAGTATCGCTGGTTGGGGGATACTCGTGATCGTAAAAAAACAATTTTCGGCAACGCAGAAAAATGAATAAAGGATTCAGGAGAAACTCTAGAGAATTCGAACAAAGAACACATTTCAGAAGCCGCCGAAAAAAGGGGGAGAAACTTAGAAGTTTGAGTTGCATGTCTGTGAACACACAATTTGAATCACAGCTTCCTGCCATGTTCTTCTCTCACAAACCAATGCCCTTCATACATCGAACTGGAGAACACTCGTTTGTATTGTCCACACAGTCCATTTGCCTTCTCACTTACACACACACGCACGCACACATAAGACAGACATAAGATTCCGTGTCTTATGTGTGCGTGCTGCTGCAGCGCACCCTCACGGTGTGGGCGGGGGTCTGCCTCTACTCGCTGCACCGCGCCATGCTGCTGGCTCTTCAGTATGAGGTCGGGTGGGGTGAGGCGGGAAGGTGTGCACAGTGAGTGTCTCACTCTCTCCGTCTCTCTTTCTGTGTTTGTGTGTCGTGTGGATGGATGGATGGAACGTGCCGTGCTTGAGACGCTGAGTGTATTGACTGAATCCAATCGATTGGAACCATCACGATCCACACTTACACACACATATGCACAAATGTTGGCACACATACAGGGAGTATACTGCCCGTATGGCTATCTGTGTGTCAGCGTCGCAGCCAACGCTGGTGTACTCATGCCCGCCGCCTTTGGTCACTCTGACGCTCAACCAGCCACGCCTTGCTCCTCACATGAGGACTTCTGAAGTACGTCAAAGCAAGACAAAGACAGAGAATCCAAATGGGCGAGAAGGACACGATGACACGGTGCTGACAGACAGACAGACAGACAGACCATCCATCCATTCATCCATTCATCCATCCACCCACCTACACGCCACAGTGTCGGTCGAGGTGCTTGCACATCTGCCCGTGTTATTGTCAGGCTCACCTTTGAGAGAACCCAACCCGTCCGTGTCGACACACGGCGACACCACGACGGCGAGTCGACAGCCATCCATGGCTGCTGCTGCTGTGTGGGCTGTTTGATCGGCCGAAGGGCGGTCATCAAGAGGTGAGGCGACGACAACAAAGCTCTCACTATCCACACAGGTACACACACCACCACACACATCCACGCGGTTGTGGATGTGTGCCGTGGTCCCTCCATTCTCTTCGATCCCTTCTGTTCCTTCTCTGCCTGCCTGCCTGCCTGCCTGCACTGCCTCGTTTGTCTGTGCTCACCTTGACCGCGGCGTCATCCTCACCTTGAGTGAGATGTATGATGGGATGTCGATGGCCATAAATGAGCAAAGCCCCTACCCTTAGCCATTCAATCACACACACACAGACAAGGAGATCTCTCGAGATCTGTCCTCTGGATGGAGGGATGGATGGAGGGAGGGAGGGATGGATGGAGGGATGGATGGAGGGATGGATGGATGGAGGGAGGGATGGATGGATGGAGGGAGGGAGGGAGGGAGGGAGGGGCAAATGCGATGGCATGGCCAGCTCAGCTGTTCTCGGCAGCAGCTGTTTTCACGCTAACGTATGTGCTGCTGCTCTCGGCTTTCTCTCTCCTCCTTCTTGAGGCAAGTCCGTCAGCAAACATCATTCATCAGCACCTGCTTTGAACCTGTTGATAGGAGGATCCCAGATCTGACAGAGGATATCCTGGCCGCAAGCGCAATTTACGTCGCGGAGCGGACAGGATCTTAGCGGCCACTTTCCAAGGCCATCTGCAGCTGACCACAGCCACCCGACGGCGCATCTTGTCCACCACTCCTCTCTGCACGTGTGCACCTCGCGAAGGCATCTGTGCTGTGTGTGCGGTGATGTCGGGCAAAGGCAAGGGCGGCCGCGGCAAGACCGCCGAGAAGACCAAGAAGGTCAGCACGCAGATGGATGGATGGATACATAGATGGAGCATGGATGGGCACCATGGATCTGTGTGATATGTGGTGTGGTGTGTTGGCGCCCTTTCTTGGTTCGTTATGCGGTGTGGTGCGGTGTGGTGTGGTTGGTTCTGCAGGTGAGTCAGTCGGTGCGTGCTGGTCTGCAGTTCCCCGTGGCGCGCATCGCCCGCTACCTCAAGAAGGGCCGCTATGCCAAGCGCGTCGGCAGCACGGCGCCCGTCTACCTGGCGGCTGTGCTCGAGTATCTGTATGCTGAGGTGCTGGAGCTGGCCAGCAATGCTGCCAAGGCCCACAAGAAGGTCAGGGAGGGAGGGAGGGAGGGGTGTGAGGTGTGGTTTGTGTGTGGTGTGCGACAGATTCGCATCACGCCCCGCCACCTGATGTTGGCCATCAAGAACGACGAGGAGCTCGCCAAGTACACGAAGGACGTGACCATCTCTCAGGGCGGCGTACTGCCCAAGATCCACTCCGTCCTGCTGCCCAAGAAGTAAGGGCACACACTGGTCGCACCTCACACCACACACAGGGAGATTCATGGGCTGAGGAGACGACGCACACAAATCGGTGCCTTCTGCTGTGGTGTGTGTGCAGGTCTAAGGCCAAGGCTAAGAAGAATGCAGAGGCCGCCGCCAACATGGTCCAACCACCACCACCACAACCACAGCCACAGCCAGAAGAACCACATCTGGCGGGTTGGGAAGCACCACCGCCCTCATCGGAGGAGGAGGAGGAATGAGGGCGCAGAGTGGATGTGCGTCACACATCCACTCTCACAGAAATGGGGCGTAGCGGCGATTCTGCTGACAGCCATCTCCCCACCCATACACCCAGCAATACACACACATACATACACACGCGCGCCTGTACATATCATCACCTGCGAGTGTGTGTGTGTGTTGCGCCGTCGTCCCTCTGGCTGACCTCTTCTCTCTTCCCGTGTGCTTCTGGCTGGCTGCCCTCTCTCTCTCCACTTTTTTTTTGGTGTCGATGGCCGGCCTTGAGACAGGGACAGAGACAGATGAACGGCAACGCGACGAGCTCCGCTTTCCTGTTCGTTCATGTGTTTGAATGGCATTCACCCCTTGTGTGTGTCGGTGAGTGAGCGAGTGGGTGCTAATCAATCGGGTGACGTGCAGATGGCCATCGGGTGACGTGCCTAGGTCAGTTCCCATGACATGGTGGACGGCTTCACGTGTGTAGCTGTGAGTGTGTGTGTCTGTGTGTCTGTGTGCGCATGTGTATGTGTGCCTCTTTTTTTTGAAGCGAAGTTGGCATCCACCGATTGCACGTGAATCACTTAGGCAAATGCACCCATGCCGTGGTCATCGGACAGACACACGAACCCCGACACGCACGCAACCTGGACGCTCCTCTACATGCCATCACAGGCAGAGGCACACAGACGCATGACAGGCCCACCCCTCCCTCCCCCGCTACGATTGAGCAGTGCACATAAAGGCTCTCATGCACTCTTTGCGCGACACAACACGCCCACGACTCACACATGAATACTGCCCGATCGCATCCATTGCGCGACAAAGGGGAAGACGACCGTATGAGCAAAAACTGACTGATACGATGGTATGCACAGCACACCGACTGACTGACTGACTGACGGCATAGCTGCGTGTGTGCAGGAGATGGCGGCTCATGGCGACGATGCCGGCCCATTTGACCTCGCTCACTCGCAAAGGCCACCATCCAACCATGACCCAGCCAACACTGACGGACAAACACAGGGAACCAAACAAACATCGTTTCTCTGTCTGCTTGCAAGCTCTCCCATTGAGTAACAGCAGTGCCCAGCAGAAGCGCATTTTCGCGGGCACATCAGGGAGATAAAATCTCACCTGACGCCACGGCATCCATCACCAGGTAGCTGCCAGGGAGCTGTGTAATGGCCCTCTTTGCCACACCCATCGTCTCGGGGCTGGAAATCTTAGTCGCCCACAGCGACACACACTCGACATGTCGGCAAATGCTCGGAAGAACACACGCAGCCGTCGATGGCGCTGCTTGAATCCACACCGTTGCTGCTGCGTGTGGCCAAGTTGAGCAGATGAATAATGACAGATCTCGATGGCACAGCTGCTGTTGCTGATGCCGCTGGACGAATGGCATCGATATCGTCGAGGGCCGGGGAGGCTGACCGGGGCTGCCGAGAGGAGCCAGAGCGTCCCGATGGCCTTGTGCTTGCCGTACTTTGCTGCAATGAGGAGCGGTGTCTTGATGTAGAGGACATCCTAACTCGAATCCTCTAAGCCTTCCTCGGGATTCAGGCACGGCAGCTCCGCGTCAGCGCCAGCTCTCGAGAGCAGTGCGGCCATAGCGCCGTCGCTGACCATGACGGCCACGGACAAGGGCGATAGTTGGTGATCTGACAGCCGGTCGACGTCAGCACGACGATCAATCAGCGCCGTTGCCACATCGAGGCTGCCTCGCGATGCCGCCAAGTGGAGAGCCGTGACTCCGTCCGTCGTCCCGCGCATCTTGATGGGGTCTGCGCGGTACTTCTTGAGCAGCGAGCGCACCATGGTGACGTTCTGCAGGACCACTGCACACAACAGCTCGCCCAAGTCGCTCATCTGAACCACCGTCGACGGAACAAGCCCCAACTGCCGCTGTAGACCGAGATGTTGACGAACCCCGAAAAGTCATGGGCATCAGCAGCGAACCCTAGCTGGACGTTGCGATAGCAGAGGCCATCATGCGACAGAAGAGGCAGCGGGAAGAGAAGGACGGCCACGACGTCGACGTCATCTCCGATGGTTGGATCTGGACAAGCAATGAGTGTGGCGATTCTATCTCAGGCAGGCCGTCTTCCCTTGAACCGCAAACGATTTCGTCGGAGAACCAACCAACATCACTGCAGGGCAGAAAACACCCGTCACCATCACACGTATACCTACAATCCCTTGATTTTTTCTGTGAATTTCATCTCTCCCTTCGCGTTTGCCGTCCTGCCCCCATAGCTCGCAAGCCCCTCCGGCCGAAAACGTTGCCTCCACCCTCCTTTCACAAGCCCCGAAGATGTCGCTTGGGGTCTTTTTGCTCGCAATCCTTTCCTTGGTGGGCAGTAGCCACCAGCTCACCGTGGACCACACGCTCCTCAAGCAGAACATCACAGCAGGGCAGAAAACACCCGTCACCATCAAAGTGACCAACGATGGCGGCAGCGAGGCCACCCTCGATATCTCCATCAAGGTGAGGCATCGAATAGCACCGCATAACAAGGCATCCATCCATATGGTGTGGTCGCTTCCGTGAAGAACCTGCGGAATGCGCCCCTCTTCTGGCCCAAAGACAGCATCTGGACCGCGGACGACTACAACAGCTACTGGAGCTGGTGGTATGCCACAAATGAAAGCGACAAGGGCGTCTGGTCCGAAGACAAAGGTCGGGGGCGGGAAGGGCGACATCTGTGTGAGATCTAGAGATCTGTGCCAGACAATGCATTAAGGGCGTGAATCTGACGGTTCATCCGCCCTGCTGTGTGTGCTGCAGAGGCGTGGCTGCCCGGTGGTGGACAGATCCACAGCTTCGGGTTTCGCGAGAGCCCGGGGCTCTTCTCAGCCCGGTACTTCCTGCCTGGCGGCTCGGCCGACTTCGTGGACCACTCGAAAGCATCCCCATGGGACGAACTCGCCTTTGCGCCGGCCCTGTCGTGGTCCGAGGGCGGGCCCTTCGGCGAAAGCGGCATGAAGACTCTGCCCTTCTTCGTCATATCCGACGTGTCTCGCTTCTTCGGCACATTCCTCGGGTGGAACTGGGTCGGCGGGGCGAACTGGAGATGGAGCGACATCTGGGGATGGGTATGCTACACTGCACTGCACTACACACAAGGGGAGGCCAAAGGAAACAGATACATAGCCAAGATGGAATAAATGCCTGTGCTTCATTGATGTTGTAGGGCTGGGTGGGCACTGCCCGCTGGTTCAATCCCGCATACTTCAGCTGGTGCGCACAGGGACCAAATACACATGTGAAGCTGCCCGTGATTGTGTAACACCTGTTTGTTCATGTCCTGGCTTCTGCCTTCTTCTCTGTCTGTCTAGGGGGTGGTTTGGCATGGCCCGCTGGACCCCGTGGTACTACGAAGGGTAAGCCGCGACGACCTACCACATACCAATACCTCACACCCACCGTGTGGGATCTCTCGATTTCCTTATTTGCACAGAGGCGCCATTTCAGGCCACGAGCGTTGGAACCCTTATTAGTACTGACATACGCACACACACGACACACACGGCTACGATGACTTGCTTATGCCTGTAACCGTGTCACCTAGTGGAAATGTGGGTATCCAACGCTCATGGTACGGTGCATAAGCACACAGAAGATTCAATAAGGCAGACCTTTCCCTTTTTGCCGTGGATTCCTTCAGGGGCTACGTTGGCATTGCCCGCTGGAATCCCGACTGGGGCTGGACCGGCATTGCTAGAGCAGAGGAGAATCGGACCATGGAAGGTGGGTGGGCCGGGTGAAAGGCAGCTAGCCCGGCCATGCAATCACAGCACCTGCTCTTCTGTGTCCGTGCTCTGCTCTCCTTCAGACATCTCCCGCTGGAACCCTGGCTGGTAAACTTGACATGTTGCATCAAATACGAACGAGTGTTGAGGGCGTCTCGATTGTCGTTCAGGGGATGGACTGGCATTGCGCGAGGATACAACCCCTACGAATACACTGGATTCGGGTAACGAAGGCGCACCGCACAGATGGATGTACAGACGCCTTCTTGACGGTCTTGGCATTCAGGTGGGTCGGCAACGGCCGCTGGTCCTTCAACGACTACTGGGGATGGGTGAGTGTGCTGAAGAGCGAGAGGGATGAATGCGCTATTTGGGTGAATGAGTGGATCTCACGGATACGTCGCTTGTATGTCAGGGATGGGTGGCCAAGGGACGCTGGGTGAGTCCTGCCTACCACGGCTGGTGAGCCAATCCAGATAAGAAAGGGAAAGAGAAGGTATGTCTCTGCTTTGCGCATTTTCTTGCCGTCTGTCTGTCTGGCGGCATATGAATGGACCAGGGGCTGGTTCGGCATCGCGAGATGGCATCCTGCTGCCTACGGCTGGGGCTGGACGGGCATCGCCCGCTGGCTCGACAGCTACTTCGGGGTCCTGAACCACGTGGGGCTCGGTCGCTGGAACAACTGGATGCCTATCGTAAGTCAATCCAGGCACAGATACGTGACATGATGCCCCGCCGTCACATATGTGTGTTTGTGTGGTATGTCTGCAGGGCATCGCCCGGTGGGGCTGGATGTCGCCCGGTATTCAGCGGTGGGGATGGGCGCCCCCCGGCATTCAGCGATGGGGCTGGATGTCCCCGGGCTTTCAACGGTGGGGCTGGGGGTCGCCCGGTATTCAGCGCATCTGGATGCCGGTCGGCATCCATCGCACCTGGGGGTGGAATTCTCCCGGCATCCAGCGCAGCTTTTGGGGCTCTCCCGGCCTGCAGCGGTGGAGTAACTGGGGCTCTGGAGGCATCCAGCGCTCCTGGGGAGACTGGGGTGCCCCCGGCATTCAGCGGTGGATGTCACCCGGCATTCAGCGGTGGATGTCACCCGGCATTCAGCGGTCGATCGCCGGTAGCGAGGACGGCATGCTGATGCCTCCTGGCTTCTCCCGATGGATGTCCGGTGGCATCCAGCGCTGGGGCTCCCCAGGTTTCCAGCGCTGGGGCGCCATAGGCATCCAGCGGTGCGTCTCGTGCGGCCTGTTCTACCAGCCGCCGGAAGAGACCGAAGTAGCGGGGCGGCGTCTGGAGGCTGCTGCAGCTCCACCACCCATCGACGCTGGGTCCTATAGCCCAGCCGACCCTACGATGGAAATGTCACCGACGGCCAGCACCTGGAGGGACGTCTCCTGGAAAATCGTCCCTATCGGATACTTCAGGTAAACACACAGATGGATGTCACATACGAAAGAGCCAGCGAGCAGCGAACCGAGGCATCAATCCAGATAGATAGACGATGGAATACTTATGCACTTGCGTGTGTTGTGTCTCGTGTGGCAGCTACGACAACACCTTCTACCCATGGGGCGTCTACAAGAGCCAGGATGGCGTGTGGCACCCGTGGGGCTTCATCCGCTCCCGCGACGGGGCCATCAAGCCATGGGGCTTCGAGTACCAGAACCTCACTACACCCACCGCATCCACCTATGGCGGCGCCCGCTTCTGGGCCGTCTATGAGGGACACGCAGAACCCATCGGATTCTTCAAGTAGGGCACCACACACACATGCAATCATCAACATGGGTGCCTTCCTTCATTGATTGAAACCTCGCTCAGGTCGTCCAACTGGCACCCCAACTTCCACGACTGCGCCATCGGTGAGTTCCCTGCATCGGCACACCTCTCCAATTTCGACCTCAGCCTTTTGGAAACATCCGCCTGGCGCAAAAAGTCAGTCAACCAGCCAGCCAGGCGGCCAAACAGAGAGGGACACTACACCACCACAGGCAGTGTGCAACATGGCTGTACATGCGTCTTGCCGTGTCGTGTGTTGTGTATGTATGTCTTTCAGTGAGGTGACGCCTCGTGACCTGGGCATGAAGGCGGGTACGACGTGGGAGTCGTTGGTGGGCACGGCCAAGGACCACGTGCTGCACAAGTGGAACATGGTGCTCCTCTCGTCATTCGACGCCACTGCCGTCAACGCCGCCAACCCCGACTTCTACTGGAAGAACATCTCACCCCCAGCGGTAGGTAGATACTGTACAACACCAACCTTCAGACCAGCACTACCGATAGCGAGCAGCACACGTGTCGTGTGCCTGGCGGGCCTTTTCCCTCATCCATCCACGCATCCGTCCATCCATCCATTGATCCATTGATCCCTCTCCCCCTCTCTGTCTTGCAGGCTCGTCAGCTCAAGGCCAAGCAGGGCGGTGGAGGCTCCCGTCGGCTGGCGTACGCGGACTTCCCGGCCAGCACACTCTTCCGTGGGTCTGGCGACTGGAACTACACGGAGACACAGGCCAATGAATACCTCGTTCGCTCTGTCAAAGTGGACGACGACAACAAAATACTCGCCGTCACATTCGACACGGTCAGCCAGCCAGCCACCAGCAAGCCCGATGCATTGTGTTTCCGCCTGCCTCTGTCGGCGTGTGCAGTCGAGTGCGTCATTGTTTGGCGAGCTGAATGCAACGGCAGGGTCTGCGCTCTTCAGCGAGATGGTCAAGATGGGTTTCTTCACGACGTCCCCAGCCAACACACAGGAGTCCACCGCCGCCGCCTTCTCGCCCATATTCACCGACCTCGACCTCTGGATGATCTCCAGAAACAGAGACGTCATCAACACAGAACTCTTCAAGTAAGCAGCAGGCTTCCAACCAACACAACACCACGGCCAGCCACGTGTGAATGGGTCTGTCTGTCTCTTTGTGTATGTATGTGTGTTGGTGTCTGTCAGTGCGGACATATCGATGCTGTACAGCCTGGGTCTGTTCCACCTGAGCGACACCACTGGCACGGTCCCCTGGCTGCCCATGCCGCTGCCACTGTTCCTCACGGCCGATGACTTCGCCAAGCTGTCGAGTGCACACGCTGCCATCGAGGCCGACATACAGGAATCACTCGACCTCAACAACGTCACCAACGCCACACAGACCGCCAGACGAGCACTCCAGGCCAAGGCCAAGGAACACATGTCAGCAAGAGATTGTGAAGTGAGTGCTTTGACCTACCTCCGTCTTGTGTGTTTCGCTGGCTTGTTGCTTCATTCAGCACGTCTGCGGATGAGGCTGACAAGGCTGCGGGGCGGAAGCTGAGTGGCACTCCCCCGAGCGGCAGCACGACAGCCCTGGGCTCGCCTCCCCGCATCCTCGTCGTCTACCACAACGCTACCGCTGCAGAGGCAGGACGCAGACGACTCGGCTGGCTCTCAGACATCGTCGATAGACTCAAAGACGGTACTGTACGTATGCATCTGTGATATGGATGGCTGCACAAAGGGCAGACAGGCAGAGGTATCCTTGCGTCGCTATCTCATGTTGTGCTGTGTTGTGGTGTGGTGTGTTGGTGTGTTCAGCCATCAAGGAGCACCGCAAGATGCGTCGCAGCCACGTGGACATCCTGGAGCTGTACGTGGACCCCCAGAACCCTGCCAACATCACCGAGTTCCAGAAGAATGTGGACGAGATCTGCAGCGACGAGAGTGTGGCGGCGTGCGAGGAGGACCAGGTGGTCAAGGCCACAGGCACAGTCCCCAATGACCCTTCCTTCGGCAACCAGTGGGGCATGCTGTCCATCGGCGCCCCCGATGCGTGGTCTGTGACCACTGGCTCGTCCACCAAGCTGCCCAAGGGCCCTGTGGTGGCTGTGCTCGATACGGGCGTCGATTACACGCATAACGACCTCAAGGACAACCTCTGGGTCAACCAGGCCGAACTCAACGGACAAGCAGGCGTTGATGACGACGGTATGCATGTATGGGATGGGCGGGTAGGTAGGTACATGGTTGCGTGTGTGTGTTTGTGTTGGCAGAGAACGGCTACATAGACGACATCTACGGCTATGACTTCCGCAACAAGGATGGCGACCCCATGGATGACGCCGGGCACGGAACACATGGTATGCAGCACTGCAGACACAGCACTCGCTACCATACCGACACACACAGACAGACACACACACACACAGACAGACACACACACACACAGACAGACAGACAGACCTACCGATCGGCCGATATACCAATCGACTGACACCACGCCTGTCTGTCTGTCTGTCTGCCTGTGTGCATTTGTTTAGTTGCTGGTGTCATTGCCGCCAAGGGCAACAACGGAGCCGAAGTTAGCGGCGTTGCGTGGAAGGCCCAAATCATGGCACTCAAATTCCTCGCAGCTGATGGCAGTGGTACGTTACTGACCCACTGATACTCTCTGTGAATGGGCTACATGTCTCCTTGTGGCCCATCTGTGTCTGTGTGTGTGTGTGTGTGTTTGTTGTGTGTCTGGAATGTGATCAGGTCTAATGTCGGATGCCATCGAGGCCCTCGAGTATGCGGTGGACCACGGGGCGCACGTGACGAGCAACTCGTGGGGCGGAGTCCGATTCAGCTCCGCACTCTACAACGCCATTGTCGCCAACATGAAGGCCAACCAGCTGTTCATCTGTGCCGCAGGCAGGCCACAGGACAAGACAAGACAGGGCACCCATGCATACATACATTCGTACATAGCCTGATGGATGGATGCATACGATGTCAGGCAATGAGGGATTCGACAACGACGCCATGCCCGACTTCCCGGCGACCTTCGGTATTCCCAACATGGTGACGGTCACGGCGCATGACGAAGACGGCCACATCCCCTACTGGGCGTCCTACGGCAATGAGACCATCCACCTCGCGGCGCCCGGTGCTAACATCGTCTCGACTGTGCCAGCCAGCCTCTTCAATGAATCGTAGGCGACGTGCATGACGCAGACAAAGAGGACCCCTCTGTCGATGGGCGGATGGACGGTCTGTCTGTGTGTCTGTCTGGCCTTGTAGGCTGTACACGGCCAACGGCACATCGATGGCCGTGCCGCACGTGACGGGTGCTGTGGCGCTCATGCTGGCGGTCAACCCGGACCTGACGTGGGCCCAGCAGAAGGAGGTCCTGCTGCAGAGCGGCACGCCCCTCTCTGAAAACGACACGTTCCTGACCGTCACCGAGAAGAGACTCAACGTCAGCAAGGCCCTCCAGGTAGCCCAGCCACCCACCACACATGACGGTCTGCCTGTCTGTCTGTCCAAACGGAGTAGTGCAGAGGAAGTGGGTGTTCATGACGTGTGATGAGTGCAGATGACGGCGAGCTTGACCAACGCCGTGTCGTACCCTGCGACGGCCACAGTGGCAGCGGGCGCCACAGTCAATGTGACAGTCGAGGTCGACGCCGTCACTGCCGGCCAATACGGGTAGGGATGCCTGGGAGACGCACTCTTTTCCACCTGGCCGTACCGTGCCGTTCGACGGTGTGTGTCTGTTTGCATCTACGCAGGGCCACTTTGGACATCCACAGCGGCGGCAGCAGTGTGGAGTCTTCCCTGCGGCTGCTGGCGTTGGGCGGGTCGAGCCTGTCGCCGGCTTTGCCTGCGAGTCTGTCCGTGGGCAAGAGTGCTGTCCACGTGCCCAGTCCTGCCGTTGAGGTGCCCATAGCCAACGGCGGCACCGGTGTCCTGGCCGTGCAAGTGCAGGACGTGACGGGAGACCACGCCAACGACTTTGAAGTGCTGCCGCCCAAGGGCATGATAGTCACCGTCTCGCCCAACCAGGAATCCCACCTTGTCAAGGTCAGCCAGCCCACACTCACCGACAAGCAGCCCTACCTACACACATGGCTCGCTGAACGTCTGTCTGTCTGTCTCTCTGTCTCTCTTTCCCTCTCTGGTTTCCTCAGGTCCGTTGCATCCCGTCCAAGAGCGGCACCCGCACCGCCACCCTGCACCTGGCCACCAATGAAGGCTCTCCCGCCGGCCGGGATATCACCACTAGCAAGACACTCACACTCACATGTGAGGGCGCCTCCTTCGGCGTTTCCCCCCCAAGCATCCGGGAGCGCATCCCATCCAACACAGCCAACACCTACAAAATCAAGGTCAGTCAGCGACGCGAGAATTGGCAGCAGCGATCATCCACTTCTCGGTTGTTTCCCTTGCTGGCGTGGCGTGTGCTTTATTCAATGCGTGCGTGTCGATCCTTTAATTGGTCATCAGATAACTAACGAGGATGCGGTCAAGGGCCTCATGTACTGCGCGCAGCTGGGGATGGACACCCAGATCCCCACCGCCCCCGACTACGTCATGACCACCGGTAGGTAGAAGCTGAGTGAATGAGTCAGTGAGTGAGTGAGTGAGTGAGCGAGGGAAATCATCCAGGAAGGGTACTTGCTGTCTTGTCCATTCAGGTGACTTCTTCTGGTTCGAGAACAAGACGGTTGAGAACAAGGTCACGTTTGAATCTGGCGAGAGGGAGACGGAGGTGGCTCTGCCCTTCCCTGTCCCGTACTTCGGTGGCATATACTCGACCATGAAGGTTTCACTCGACGGCTCAATCCTACTCGGCTACGACGGGGTCAGCTGTAGACGCGCACTCATCTATCCCCTTGGCGTCCATCCATCCTCTGTGTGTGTGGCCGCATCGCATTGACTTGTTTGGTCAGGTCATCAACGGGTACGCCTCGTCCGAGTTGTCGACGGCGGATGGGGTGTACGTCACGGTCGATGAGCACGACGTGACGGTCCACTGGAGCGGCTTCAAGTACGCCGGGGCGGGGACCATCAACTTCCAGGTGGTGCTCGAGGAGAGCGGCCCCATCCACTTCTTGTACGAGAACGTCCATGGCATCACGCACGCCGACGCCTTCAACCCGCAGAGCGACAAGCACATCAAGATCGGGCTCAAGAGCGGCACCACACACAAGAAGGTTTCGGCCACGTCGGCGTACCCCACCACGGGCACCGCTATCCACTACATGCCCATCTCAGCACACCACTGGATGACCATGGCCGGCACGCCACACGGAATCATCCCGCCCAAGGGACAGACCGAACTCAGAATCAACGTCGCACACTTCCTCAAGGAAACCGACGGACTCCAGGGTACGCACCTCGCCAACACACACACATACATATACACGGCCAACATCCATCCATCAAGCCTCTCCCTCTCTGTCTCGCTTTCTGTCTGTGTGTGCTGCATTGCATTCCTTATCCGGACAGTGTGCTACACGGACCCCGACGCGTGCGACCTGTCGCGCACTTTGTGGTCTGGCGGCCAAGGCGTCCTGTACCTCAAGACCAACGACACCTTCATGAGACTGCCACTCGAGTTCTCCCCCCTCATGGAAACTGAGGGAGCCGAGATCACCGCCGAGGGCGTCGACCTGACCTCCATAGATGGCGAAAACCCCCTGCTGCAGTTCGACAGGTACGCGAACCGCCACACAGATACATGTGTGCTGTCATGCCCCTTCCCGATACATCAATCGCATCCTTTCTGCTGTGTGTGTTGGCTGCATGCAGGTACTCGGAGAAGGAGTTGTTGGTGTCGGGCGACTTCCCCGTCTTCACCGTCCAGAATGCCGCCACATGCGCCCGCAAGTGTCTGGAGGAGACCATCTGCAAGTCCTTCGACTTTGAACAGCTTTCCGCCTCCTGCAAGATGATCCGATCGACCAAGGACGACGACCCCACCAAGTTCGTCACGCCCACAGGCCGGTACGAACCAATACACATACACACTCACACACAGATGTCCTCAAGAGACACGGATCAATCAAGATAATACTGTCTTTGTGTTTTTCTTGGTTCTTCCTCCAAACGCACAGCTGGGTTGACCACTACGAGGTCAAGGCCACTGCCCGTCGGCTGCAAACCAAGGGCAGCAAGTAGATCCTCCTTCCTTTGTCTGTCTCGTGTGTTCTACGGCTGGCTTTCTTTGCCTAGTGTGCTAGTGGGGAGGGCCTGTCTGTCTGACTGACTGACTGATCGGTTTTAGTCGTGTGTGTGCTTTTGGGCTGTGTCCCTTTCACACCGACTGGCGACTGGCAGTGCACGAGTGTGGGGTTTGGGAGAGTGTGTGTATGTGAGTGTGTGATAGGGTGGGTGGGGTTGGGCTGCTTGGGGGTAGTGAAATACGGTCATTCGCGCCAGGTTCATGCACACGTGTGTGTGTGTATGACACAACAGCAGGCAGAAGTGGAAAAGGAACGAACTCCGTCACACACAGGAGAGGACAATATATCAGACATACGAATGCATCGATCTCCCGCCAAACAACAGATCAGATAGACACCATGCATCCACTCATGAACTGGCGTGTGTCTCTCTCTCAACGATCATGCAGACAACGCAGCCACGACTCACATGAACCATCCCATCCAATCAAACCCCTTGCCCAGCCACTCCGCCAGGCTCTCCAGCGTACCATCGCCACCAGCGGCACCCGCACCCTCATCGATATCCATCTTGTCATCATCACCACCATCCTCTGCGGCTAGGGGGCACCGCGCCAGGTCCACCCGGCAGTGCCAATCCGAAGCACGGCGGCCCAGCACACGCTGGTCGCCCCTCGCCGCGAGGCGCCCTCTTCCCCATGGTCAGGCCGGTCTGGTCGTCCGCTGTCTCTGCTGCCTTGACGATCTCGCCCTCCCGCGCCTTGTTCAACGGGTCCCACAGCACCTCTCCCCGACGCACAGAAGACGGCTGCGCCTCATCCTTCTCATAAGGTGTCGGGCGGCGCTTGGCCTTGGGAAGGGGCTGGAGATCGCTCTCTGTGGGGCTGGCTGATGGGAGGGGGCTGCAGGCGCGCTTCTTGCAGTTCTGCCGCAGCCCCATGTCGTGTCCACTGGGGCCGCTGGTGGTGTGGAGTGCGAAGAAGTCCGGCTGCTACTGTGGATTGGGAGGTGAAGACAGACGATGCCGATCATCCTGGGAGGCACGAGTAGCACGCTGTCCGGGACCGGAGGCCGGGTGACGGTTCCGGGCTGCACGCAAGTGGAGGGGGGGAGACACACCACAATAAGTTGACACCATTGCATGGATGGATGGATGTGTGTGTGTGTGTGTCTGCGTGCCTCTGTCGGACCTGGTGGCCTTCGCCGCAGTGTCCATCGGCTGCGCACTGGCACTCTGCCCCTGCGGCTGTCCCCGTTGGCTGCCCCACTCGAGTGGCAGAGACTGGTCCCTGATGCTCACTATCTGCACACACACATAAACAGAGACATGAAGACTGTGTCTGTCGTGACATGCCGTGGGTGCGTCCGTCCGCACGCACCAGTTTCTGCCGTACGATAGAGATGAGGTTGTTCTGGTCGGTGGTGTGGTCGCCCGTCAGGCGGGGCGCGTAGGCGGCGCACCGGTGAGCGTCGATGTCGCTGAAACTCCTACACACATCAACCAACGGACAGACAACACGCCGTGGGTCGATTAGCCGTGGGTCGATTAGCGTGTGGGTGACTGGGTGGGTATCAGTCTGTGAGTCCTACGAGTTGCAGATGATTGAGATTCCGTAGAGCAACACGAAGACGCCGCAGTCATACCCATTGGTCTGCTGCGGCAAGTTGGTCTACGCGCACACACATAGACACACACATGGAGACACACACATGGGTGTGCGACCTGTATGTTCGTCTGTCATGCCTCTCCCTCCCTCCCTCCCTTCCTCCCTCCCTCCGTCTTTCGTTTTCTCACTTGGAGTTTTCCTTTTTGCGCCAGTTGGTGCCCCCGCCACCCAGCGAGTCCAGCACACGGATGCGCTTGGCCCTACAGAGTGGATGGCATTCGTGTGTGCTGTGTGTATGTGAGGTAAGTACTTGACGTCGACCACGCCGAGTGCCCAGTGAGTGCCCTGGTAGCCGGCCCCCGTGGTGGCGTAGCCCTCGTTGATGGGCACCAGCAGGTAGTCCAACTCAAACACATTGACCTGACATCGATTGCATTCGTGTCAACAACACATCCACACACCCAACAGAGAATATGCATGCTGCGTGTTGATCAATCAGGTGGTGCGGTGGTGGTTGGTGCCTGGCGGATGAGTATGTGTGGCGGTGTGTCTGTGTGTCCGCCTGTCCGTCTGGCCGTCTGTCTGTCAGTCAGAGTGGGGAGTGGAGTGCATGGTGCGTGTGTGGAGGGGAGGGAGCATGGAATGTGCGGCCTTAGGTCTGTCTACGGTATGTGGTCAGGCTTAAGGCGAGCATGTAATAATTAGGTTGCGACTTCAGCATGTGTGTCCGGTACGTACAGACAAGGGTGACGGCCTGACCACACTTGTACAGAAACACCCAGATACACGTACACACGTTCAGCAAGCACACCCACATACCTTCTTTTGGTCGACGAGCGGCGGACCTTCTGGTAGTCGTAGTTGAAGCCTGTCGCTCTGGGGTTGGACAGAAACTGCCAGAAGAACGAGTTCGGGATCCACACCTTCGGAACACTGGCCAAGCCAAGCCATCCATGGCATGGATGGAGGCAACACACACACACACACAGCAAAGCAGCGCGTGGATGAAGGGTGTAATGTGTTGTGTGTGCGTAGGTGGGGGTGGGGGTGGGGGTGGGGGTGGGGGGAGCGTACCCTTTGCCTTCGGCGGCCTGTGCCCTGAGCCACATCTCGGCGAGGGCGAATACGATGTCGACGATCTCGTCATTGAGCCACGCGAGATCCTCCAAACACACTATGTCGCATCTATAGGCAGACACGACACGAGATGTGATATCCCATCCAGCCATGTATGTCACATTTCTCACATGACTGCTGGCACCACACACGTGGCGTGGCGTACCCGAGAACAAGAGCTCCGCTGACTTTGGCCACTGTGAGGCTCTCGCCCTTCTCGTGTCCCTCGTCCACCAGCTGCAGTGCCGCTGCCGTCTCGTCGTCACTCATCTCCAGAAACCAAGGCACCTGCAGACATACACACAGGTAGGTGTGTTGCGTGTGGGTGGGAAGGGGGCTGGGTGGACGTACCTTGGCGGCCACCTCAGTGCGTCTGCGCTCGCCCGGGCTGTGCGTCGTGGCCATCCCCTTCCCGACGTCCATGTCCACGTCTCCGTACGCATCACGGCTGGCGGCGCGGGCGACGGACTTTTTGTTCTTCTTTCTCTTGTGAAGGGGCTCCTCGTCCTCGTCACGGTAGATGAGGGCGGCCTCGTGGATGTCAGCCTCCTCCACCTCGGCCTTGGCAGGCCGACGCGGCTGGACGGCGGCTTGGCGGGTAGGCATCTTGGCCTTCGTTGACAGCATGCCGTTCTCTTCCTCAGCCATCATCTCGACATCCTTGCCCTCCCCATCGGCCATCTGAACATCCCCCATCTGTCGACTCCCCTTGCCCCTCGCCCGGCCCCTCCTTGAGGGCGGAGGTCTTCTGTGGTGGTCAGCCTCCGTCTTCCCATCCCTTTGGTCTTTCTTGAGGGCGGAGGTCTTCTTTTTGTGTCGCCTCGGAGCGGCCTTGTTGAGGCGTTCGTCGTCTTTGCCACTGCCGAAGGGGTGGAGGTCATCGAGGCGGATGGCCCCGGTGGATGCGGCCGCTGCAGCAAGTGAGGCCTCCTGGGCCTCTCTCCATTTCCTTGGCGGCGGCCTGCACCAATAATCGGCACACACACACAGAGAATAAAGCGACAATGAGGTCATGCAGGCAGCCTCGATATGGCTACAGGCAGGCATGAAATGGTCCCGTGGATGTGCTCTTCATATGGTGACAAAGGACGAGACAGCGCCCCAACCACCCGTGGGGTCGTTTCCCCGTCTCCTCACCTTCGCGCGGGTCAGCATCCTGTCAGCGACGGGTGAACTGCTGCTCATTCCAATAGCAACGTGTTGGGCTGCAGCAAAGAATTGACAATGGAAACGGCGGCGTTGACATAAGACTCCAGGCATCAGCAGCGACTCATTGGACGATGCCCTGGATGACCACCGAAGCGCACCAAACCATGTGCCGTGACCTGCTGCCTAGTGCGGACTGTGCGTGTACCTCGACAGGGTGATTGGCAGGGTCCAGCTGATTGATCTCCGATAGACGAGCACCAACCTGATGTAGCCGCCGAGAGATCAAGGGAAAGAACCATCAACACAGCGAGAGAGAGTGTGGCGTTGGGTCTGTCAGGGGCATCAATCACATCTTACCCTCGAGTGGAGCTGCCGCAGCTGGTCCAGACCCTGCTCCACACGCGCCGCCTCCTCCTTCAACTGAACACAACACACAACACAAAACACACAACACACAACACAACACACAACATGACACACCCGCCATTTGAACGACAGCTGCTGGCTTCTCTTGTTCGTCAGACCGCCACCCACCTGAGCTACATCCACGGCGCCGGCGATTCATATGCCGCTATCAACGGTCTGGTCCGCATGAACGGCTCAACAAGCCTGCAACCATCCCAAAACACAGAACCGAATCAGAGCGGTCGACAGCAAGGTGAAAGCACATGTGTAGGTGAGTATATTCACAGGCCAGATGGGCGAACCTGTCGGCTGAATTTTCTCTTCTGTGCTCGTGTGTTTTCTCTGCCCTCCCGCGCCACGCGCTCACCTGGCTAGTACCACGGCGAATCGCCCCGGGTGCTGGCGATGGAAAAGCAGAAATTGATGAGTGCGAGGACGATTAGGTTCCCCGACCAGCCACGTACATGTCGGTTTTGTCTGCGGACAGAAGAGTCGGCGATGTCAGAAGGACGGCAACGCACAAGAGGCGACGTCGACGTCATCTCCGATTGTTGGATCTGGACAAGCAATGAGTGTGGCGATTCCATCTCAGGCAGGCCGTCTTCCCTTGGACCGCAAACGATTTCTTGGGGAGCAGCCTTGAACATCGCCGAAAAGCTCGCAAAAGGAGAAGAGCCGGAAGACGATTTTGGGCAGCACAGACGTCACCCAGACTCATCGCTGAGGCCTCTGAAGCACTCGGGGCTGCCAAATCTCTCCCCCTTCTCGGGATCGAGTGAGGATCGAATTCCCATTTTTCTCCGCTGTGGCAAATTCTTTTTTCTCTTTTTTCCCCCCCTGCCTCCTCAGTGAGACCACACACACCTTCAGTGAAACAGGCAGGCAAAAACAGAGAAATGAGCGGCGAATTGAACTCTGCATTTGAGCTCGCATTGCCTTTCTTGGAGGAAGGCCAATAGACACGCCCAGACCACACGTGGTGGGCTGACTGGCGGAGAGCGTAGCTAACCGAGGCCGACCAGAACGACACAGAGGGCGCATCAGCTGCCGGTGAGGTGGCGTCACTCATTCAATGTGTTGGCTGATGATGGATTCGTTCGTATGAATGTATGTGTGTATGTGTTGCTGGTTGCAGGTTGCTTCACCCATCACACTATGGCAGCCTCTTCCTCTGATGCTCAGCCTGGTGGTGGTGGTGCAGGTGGTGAGAGCGATGAGGAGCGGCAGCGTCGAGCTGAGAGGGAAAGAAGCTTCTGGGGGAATGCACCTGTGAGCCAGCCACTCGCACTGAGGCCATCCGTACTCTGGTGGATATTCACATCTCTTGCCGTCCCGTGGGCTGTGTGGCTGTGTGCAGCCCGGTCTCCTTAGCATCGTCATCGCCTTCCTCCCCATCCATCTGCTCATGCAGCTGCAGTTGCCGCCCCTGACGTGGCAGCTCACCGCCCGCAAACAGCACCACCTCACCGTCAGCGCAGCAGACGAAGACGAGCGGTCGTTCTGGCAGAGGACCACCATCGACCTCGTCAAGGAATGGGCGACATACCTCAGGCAGCTGACGTGTGTGGTCCTCTGCTACCCACTCGGCTTTCCCAGCTGGTGTTTCGACGTCTTTGTGGCCATCATCGAGGGCCACATTGCCGGCCGACGTGAAGCCAACCTGGGCGGCGAGACGCTGGAGACCATCGCCATCGAAGGCCTTCAGCGGACCGGCACGGCGAGACGCGCAAGGACAGACCCTCTCCTCCCCGCTCCTCTCGACCCGCTCCCGACCCTCGACGCACTCACCACCATTGCCGGCCTGACCCACCAACATGAGGTGGTGGCCGACCGACATTGGCTGGTGCCCTCATTCGCCGTCGTGGGGCAGGAGGGTTGGGACGCTGACAGATTGGGCCGACTCATCAGCTCGTCCCGCTCCCTGCGGTGCGTTGACGGCAGCTTTAAGGGTGAGGAGTGGGCGGATGTGTTCGAGCGCATCCCTGCGGCACCTGTTGGGCAGCAGGGGCCACTCGCCCAGCTAGAGGGCATCGGCACTATCAATATCGATGACGGTGACCATCGAGCGGGCATAGATCGGCTTCAGGTGAACACAAAGGACAGGAAGGCAGCGTCTGTGGGTTGGTTGGTCCATGATGTCCTTCCCGTATGTGTGTGTGTTGTCGCCTTCAGGAAGTCCTCATCGCCCGCGGCTGCCGACGGTCACTCAAGCAGCTGCACGTGGTCTTTGAAGAGCACTTCTACATCGACCGCCCCAGCATTCCCGTCCTGCAGGCCGTGAACCGACTGGTCACCACATGCTGCCGACAGGACGCCCCACTGACACTCACCCCCGCCGGCCCCTTCTATTTCGGCTTGGACATCTTCTACCACGGCGAGTTCCCCGACCACCCCTCGCCCTCATTCAAGACCATGATCCAGCAGCTGGCAGAGAGGGCCACAAAGGTCAAGTACATCCTCTCTCAGCAGGACCTCACCGACAACCTCGACAGCCCCAGCCCGTCAGCCATCGACGTCGCCTCCAGCCTCTCATTCGACAAGGCCACCATGGTGGTCGTCCAGGATGCCCCTGATTTCGTCCCCCCGGGCAACACCCCATCGCCCCACCCCGCCATCATCACCTTCCTACAGCCCTTCTCAACCCAGGCCACAGTGCTGGGTGTCTGGAGCGACTTGGGACTAGGCGGTGCTGCGGGGCGGCTGCTGGCCGACAAGATGCCCAAGGAGCTGACGAGGGTGGGCTTTGATCCGAGGATGTCGGGTGCCGAGGAGAAGGTGGGCGTGTTGACGGGGCTGGGGAGGGAGAGAGAGGTGGGTACGGTGTCGGTGTGGGGCATCGGTGTCGACCAGCTGGTGGGGGCGGCCAACGAGTTGCCGACGATCAGGGAACTAAGCTTCGAGCTGACCCGTACGCTGAGAGAAGTGTGTCGGTGCGTCCTCATTGTTGCCTTGTCTGTGTGTTCCCTCCCCTTCAGTGCCCGATGGTGTGCAGGATGCCGGCAGCTTCGTCCGCACCAGCCTCTCGTCGATGATTTCGTGCATCAGGGGCCTGCGGTCTGTGCGGCTGGAGGTCGACGACGCGACAGCTGAGCAGCATGGCATTGCTTCCATCGAAGCCTCCCTCCCTGACGGCGCCAACAATGTCATCGAGGGCTTCACAATCAGACACGAGCACCGTAGGCCAGACTTCGTCGTCGTGACTGCAGTTCGCAACGCCTGAAGGTGGGGAAATGGCACTCATTCACGCGAAGACCTCCGTGATCAGATATGACCACGTTCGTGTCTGCTCTTTTTCTCTCTGTGTGTGCGTGTGTGTTGGTGGTGGTGTCTGTCAGGCCGGCTCTTGTGTGTGGTGGATCATTCACAGCGGAGGGGCAGCGGGGCCATTCTTAGCTGACGACACTTATGTGGTGCATAGCATAGCTGCGATGTGTGTGTGTGACGTAGTATGTGTGTGTGTCTGTGGACGAGTGACCAGGTAGCTGTGCAGACTTGACGGATGGGGGCTGATTGATGCTGGCGTGTGAATGAGCGCGTCAGGCCAGGGAATGGGCACTTTTGTTGGCTCTCTTCGGCATTCTTCATGCCGCGTTTGCCTCTCTCTCGATGTCTCGATGGCTCATCCAGCTGTCCTACCGTACCTTCACCCCCACCCTCTCTCGACCGACCGAGCCACCGGCGGTAGCAATACGCCCATCCGTCGAGACACTCGTGTGTCGGTGGGCCGGTGGTTGAGTGACGGTGAGGGAGAGGGCAAGGACCATTGAGGCGGCCTGCATGTCTGAGTGAGTTGAACAGCGTGACGGTGTAGACTGACGTGTTGAACTCTAGTGCTGCTAATGTGGCAGAGGCTGACGCACGACAACATCCCTATCTGCCTTTGCCATGTCGGGTGACATCATATGCCCGGATCGAGCAGACTGACAGGGGTGCACGAGATGGAATGAACGGCTGGCTGCGTTTGGATGTTGGCTGGCTGCATGGGTGGCTGACAGACCGAGTTGGTCAAAGTGGGCGCTCGGCATCCTGCAGTCGATTCTCTTGATCAAGTCAGTCCATCACACACACACACACACGCCGCAGTCGGCACCAATCAGAACACACTGTACACCAGAATGGAGGCTAATGGCCGCTACCCTGCGCAGCTGACGCAGTTATGCAAGCAGCAAGAACGGTCAGAACAGACAGGCAGTCGACCTTTCTTACAACCAGGACTGTACAACTCCCGCCATCCCCCCCCCAGCTGTATCTAAGTCGTTATGTGGAGACTCAGCTGTCGCCCTGCAGTAGGGGTACCTGAGGACGGCATCACGCCGCACGTCGTCCGGCAGCCGCCTGTGGGCTCTCTCGAGCCGCTACTTCTCTCTCTTGGCCGCCTCATGACAGCGCAGAAGCCCTCCGTAGCACGCCGCACAGAGACTCGGATGCTTGCAGGGGAAACACACGATCGTCGGGGGCTTGTCGAAGTACCGGAGGGACCCCCACTTGATGGCGACCAAGGCATGCAGCATGCTGGCCACGGCAAAGAGGGCCAGCAGCTGCTGTTGCCTCTCCTTGATCTGCCGCTTGAACTCATGGACGGCCTTGGGGTCGTTGACGGCACCCAAACGCTCCCTTGTCAACCTGGGAGGCCAATGATCATACGCCCATCCATCCATCCATCCATCTGTCTGTCTGTCTGTCTGTCTGTCAGTTGTATTGGTGCGTACCCTTTGGCCGCCTCCTGGAGCAGCTTGTCGTGCCACTGGCTCGAGAGGCCGCAGGGATGCTGTCGTCTTGTCGCAATTGGTCCGCAACGCCGCAATGCCCAGCTCCAACCTGACCCAAAAGACCCAAAAGTGAGTGACAGTCCCATCCAGTGGGCAACGGAGCCGCCACAGCATGGTTCAGTTACTGTTTTGTGTCGACCTTGAGGGCCTGGAGCATCTTCCGCAGCTGGGCGGCGGCTCGGGCGACACCGACTGCTCCCGAGACCGACAGGGTGTCGGCGAGCTGATTGAGAACATACATGCGCACGGAGAGGAACAGCCGGCTGCAGCGAGGGCTGCCTGCCTGTCTGCCTGCCTGCCTGCCCCACCTGGCTGGCGTGTCTACTGTTGATGGGCTCTCACTTGTCATTTGCTGTGCCACGCCTCGGGGTCTTGCCGCATCTAACACGCCCATCTCGACCTGCGCACACAGACAGAGAGAGAGATGTCAGCCTTTTTGATCTTCTGGCTGCTCCTGACTGCGTGTATGGCCTTCCTGTGAGCCTCTCTCCGGAGATCTGATCTGCCGCGCTCCGTTGTGTTTGTGCGGTCTGTCCTTTCCCCCAAGCACTTCTAAGCTCGCAGGGTTTGGAACCCCGCACCCTAAGCCCTAATTATGCTCTGCAGGGTTTGCGAATTTCGTGAATGCGGTTGGTGTACGTACAGGAGTGCGTGGCAGACAGACAGACACACTTACACACAGGCTCATGTCCACCGGGGTCCACGCGCAGAGAGGGAGGGAAGGGTTTATGAAGGCTTGTGTGTGAGTGTGTGGTAGTCAGTTGATAAGTTCGTTCTCACACGACCATCCATCCATTCAGAGGCAGTGGCATGACAAGCTGCTCCAGGAGGCGGCCAAAGGGTAGGCATGAGTGCAGCTCAGACAGACACATGGATGGATGGATGAATGGATGGATGGATGGATGTCTCACAGACACGCCTCCTAATTCCATCCCAATTCAATGTGAGACATCCAATTCCTTGCCTCTGGAAAAAAAAAGCACAACGGCCAGAGGTGTGCTTACACAGTTTAGTCACACACAGATTGACAGACGTACGTACAGCTGGGTGTAGATACATACGACAATTAATTAAGGCTATGTGCACTCGATCGACTCACGTACGGACAGACAGACAGACCCACACAAAAGTGAGCCGGGGTCTGACAGATGCCGCCCTCCCTTATTGATTCGTCTGTCTACGGGCAGACAAATACTCATCCAGCCCTCAAGACGAGACGCCCTTTGGCCGCCTCTCTCTGTCTGTCTGTCTGTCTGGTCCTCGCTCGTCGCTTGCTTCAGTCAGTCAGTCAGTCTCCGGTGTCTTCCATCTTGACAACGGTGCGAGGGGGCGGGGGAGCTGCCAGCAGACACCGACACAAACGCACCACATATAGAAAATTGCCACTGCGTGTTTGGCCATGTTTGGGTGGCTTGCCCGCCCGCCCGCCGCCTACCGAATAGAGCGTCGTCGGTGGGTCCGTCCGGCACAGCGATGGTCATATGGCGGTCAGCCCGCTGTCTCTTGTGAGGCCGCCCCGCGTCGGTATTGATGTCATCAGCAGCTGATACCGTCTGTTGGTCCGCGGTTGGCGTGCCCCCGTCGCCGCTGACGGACTGGGGGCGTCCACTGGTGGTGGGCTGAGCTCTGACGGCCTCCCAGCTGCCATCGGGATTGACGCATATCTGGACACACGACAGACAGAGAGGGGGCAGACATCGAGGGGACGGTCATGTTTGTGGCTGGTATGTACCTCCTCTGTGTCTTGGCTGGTCTGCAGGAGGACGTCATGCATCGCCTCGTCGACCATAACTGCATTCATTTGTCCATCAGCACAGACACACACAATCCCAAAGGTACCTACCCATGGAGCAACCAGCAGTGGCTGGCGTTAGCCCATCCGGCTCACTCACGGTCTGAGAAGGGGAGTGGGGATTTGCAGATGGGACAGTGCCATATGTACGCCCGCCGCTGTGTGGGACCGACCAGGCAGTAAGACAGACATATCAGAGTGCCGGCCCACGTCTGTCTGTCATTCACGCCTTACCCTGGGATAGAGGAAACACGACAGCTCATAGCACTGCTCGTGACGACAACGCCGCCCCTGCAATGCACACACGCGACGCATGGAATACACAGCCAGCCAGCCATCCATCCATCCACTGTATGGTTGGCTCGCCTTTGCGGGTATCTTGATTCGGTCCGTCCTCGAGAAGACGTCCTTGAGTGACACCACCACACGCCCCGCCCCGTCGGCCTCCTCCACACCATTGCGGTTGCCGAAGGGCCTGCGCTCGATGCGCGAGCTCAGCACCTCCTCGAGCTCCCGCAGATGCCGATACCTCACCAGCTGCAGCACCAGGAACGCCTCACGGGAATCGTCGACCTGCACACACCACGCCCACGGAAACAGACAGACAGACAGCCAGACAGAGAAGAAGAATACATGCGGACGGCAGGTGTGGTTTCCGTGTGACCTTGCCGGTCTCTTGTGGCAGGTAGGTGGTCTTGAATGCCAGGCACTGCTTGGACGCAACGAGAGTGAACTCGTTCAACGCTGCACTTAACAACAGGCAATTTGAAGGCGTGTCGCTTACACAGACCAAGTGGGTGACTCTGACAGACGGAGTGACATACCGTCGCCGTGCAGGCAGTCGGTGATGGGTATCGACTCGCCATAGGAGCACAGCTGCCTGTGCTCATCCTTGCACCAACGTGCACGGTCCCGGAAGGCACCACCTGCACGCACATGGGCCATGCAAACAGACAGACAGACAGACAGACACAGTCACCCTGCCGGCGGTGTCAGTCAATGTGCTATTCCGTTTCCTTCGGTCCCTCTGTCTTCCCACACGCATTCATTCGTTCGCTTACTGGCCATTTCGCCCTCTTTGCCGCTCGGCTGGAGGTACCACTTGCTCTGTAGCCATCGGATGTCGATGCCGTGCTGGTTCACCAGCCGCACACAAAAGTCAAAGGGACGATTGTTCTGCTGGCCGCTCCCCTTCACATAGCTCAGCAGCGCCCCGTCCACCCACCAGCGGACCGTACACACACGAAAGTGCTGGGCGGCCTGGGGCACTTCCTCAGGCCGCGGCAGGGTGACCTTGAAGATCTGCATGTGCTGCACCGGCTCTTCGAAGGGCTGCTGCCGCCTCGGGAACTCGCCACCGGCCAGCAGCTGACGATAGTACTCGTCGCTCAGACGATCCAGGTCCTGCTGCTCGGATGTCATGTCTGGTGGGTGGTGGCCGGACGGCATTGGCCTGCCGTGATGGCCCTCTGGCGACTGCGAGGGGCGTGGGTGTTGCGGGAGAGGGGCAGGTGGCGATGGGGAGGGCTGTGGCAGGTGGGAGCCGGCCATCAGTGGCTGAGAGCGGAAGTACTGGCTGATGGACTGCGCCATCTGTAGGACCGTTGCATCAGACTCTGCAGATACACACCGACACACAAGCGGAAGGCAAGCAGCACATCAGGGCCACCTCCAGCGGAGGGATGGGTGTTGTTATTGTGCGTACGGGGCGGTAGTTGCGGGTACGCCTCCTGGAGCACCGCATAGACCGCTCGGATGTGCGACTCGGCAAATGCTTGCAGGAGAATGGGCTCTTGCGAGCAGTACTGCACGAGAATCTCACAAGGGTGACGCCAACAGATGGCTGACGCCATCTTTGCCACCAAATTCGCGGACATCTCCTTCCCTCCCGAGCTTAGCTCGCAGATGGATCGCGGCAGGATTGAATCGATGAGAAACTGGCTCAAGTGCTCACCACCAGCAGAGAATGAGGTTAAGAGGTGTGAGCTGCCTGAGCGGCAGAATCTGCTCAAAGCTGGCCCACTACAAGGCATGGAGAAAGAACAAGGCAACGGCATTGCAGGCAGAGGCAATTTGAATCAATTGATTTGCCCCTCTTTGCCGGCCGCTGGCGTGCTCTTTGTCTGTCAGCTCTTTGTCTGTCATCTTTGGGCCACCTCACCTATGCTGTCTCTGTCTGCGTGTGGATGTGTGGCACACAGCAGCACGAGCAGGGCAACGGCAGACAGAAGGCGAAACATGGTGCGGCGACCGGGTGATTGTGTGTGTGATTTGATTTGATTTGATTTGATTTGATTTGATTTGATTTGATTTGATTTGATTTGATTTGATTTGGGCCGATCAATGCAATGCGCATATATATGTGAGTGCATGTGTATATATGTGGAGATCGATCGATGTGTACGTATACATACACTCATACATACATACGTATGGGTGTGCATGTTTGTTGGTTGATCGACGTGACGCTTTTTCCCATTCATTGAAGGCGCACAAGACACACCCAGATACTTATATGCATGAGTGCGGCAGCGGCGGCGGGAGAAAGGCCATTCATCCCACCAAGGATGCGTACATGCATTCATGCAAACAGGGGGGTCTCACCCATGGCCATGCACACGAACATGTACAGGTAACATGCAATCGATGGCAGACAGCCACACGGACACTCTCCTTCACATGAAGCGGTGGATGTGTAGAGTCGCCTGCCTGGCTTTGTAGTGTATGCGTGTCAGCGCACGAAAAAGGCGTACACGCAAGAGAAAGAATGGCCAGAACTGGACACGGCCTCTCTCTCTGCCCCTCTGTGTGAGTCTGTGTGTGCGTGTGTGTACTTATTCCTCCTCCTCTTGTTTGACGACAACAACATCCTCCTCCTCCTCCTCCTCTCTCTTGACGGCATTCTCTGTCTCTCTCTTGACCTTCCTTCTGGTCTGGCTTGGCCGCAGCACCACAGTGCCATCTGTCCTCTCTGT